GGGTGGGGGTTAATAGGTTTTCGGATCGGCGGATCTGGGCCTATAAAATAATTGTTGACTACAAAAAAATAACATAAGAAGTCACTAAGAAGGCCTTATAAACGGCGAAACGAGACTACAGGCTCTGCGCTGTGTGGAAACGTCTTCTCTGAGCTTATTATGGCAAATATGGCATCAGCGGCTCTTGAATTAGTAAGAATTTATGATTTTCTTACTATCGATTGCTATCATGATTTGGGATTCGGATTAAAGCAAAACTTTGCGCGGATTGGCGGATTTTAGAAAAAAATGAGCGGATCGGCGGATTCGGAGACCCCTATTCACCCCCCTTGTTGCCTTTCTTCCACCTTATGTCCTCTTGCCTGTTCCCTTTTCTTTATTATCACTTCATCCCACTTCCCTTTTCCCTTATTTCCTATTTTCTTTTCCCTTTCTTCTTCTTTACTCCTTTCCTCCTTCCTTTACAGAATCTTTGGAAGTTGATAAATTTGGTCATTTACTAATACCCTTAAAAATCCCTGAAATAGGAAACTTTTTTCACATGCACTCATTCTCGGGAACCCAGGGGTAATCTTTTGTCTTTCGTTCCCCACTTCCAGAAAAAATACCCATGCATGAAGTCATTTAAACCTTGTTCTCGATGCGAAAATTCAAAATGGCGGCCAGTAAGTTAATCAACCAATCAGAATGTTCGAGTGAATCACTCGACCAATCAGAAATTTACCGGCCGAAATTCAAAATGGCGGCCGGTAAGTTAATCAACCAATCAGAATGTTCGAGTGAATCACTCGACCAATCAGAAATTTGCCGGCCGCCATTTTAAATTTTGAATCGAGAACAAGGTCTAACAGACTTCGTGCCCAGGGGTATATTTTCCGGGAGTGAGGAACGAACGACAAAAGATTACCCCTGGGTTCCCGAGGATGACATGCACTTTGAAATTCTTCCTAATCTACAAAATCTTTGGAAGATGCTATATTTACTTACAGAACTTATACCTTATATTTTCTCAGGTCTTTGAAGATGCTGCAACATGAAAGATCATTGATGGCATTGCATGAATCAGATTAGTACTTCTATCCAGATTTAGTTC